ACTGTTCACTTTAAAATGGTTAATTTTATGTTATGCGATTTAAACCTCCATTTAAAAAAAAATTTATGTTAAGATATATAGACCACTGTAGAACTCTTCTTCAAAAACACTGCTACCACATTCAAATGCTATTTAGATCTTGGAGATGTTTAGAAAAAAATGCATTACAAACTAAATTATTACCTTATATTACAGTAATGGGTGTGTACTGATATCAGTGCTAAAATGCTTGACAAACATCAAACATACATTTATAAACAGTCTCAAATAAATATAAATGAACCTTAAGACATTTATTCCTCTAGGGCAGAACATAATTTGAGTCAGTTCAACTGTGCATGTAAGATGAACTCAAATTTTTTACTAGAATTCTTTTCTCAACCTCAATCAGGAAAATATTGTGAACTGATAAGAAATGTCTAACATTACATAAAGAATAAATAAGAATATAAGAAGTAAACAGACACAAATCTGACCAATAATGGATATAAATAAATATGCTAAAGCTAACTGTCTTGGAGATGTAGCACAACATCACTTCAGATTAAGTAAACTTCACACTTGAAAATGTATAGAATCGGGACTTCCCTGGTGGTGCAGTGGTTAAGACTCCATGCTCCCAACGCAGGGGGCTGGGGTTCGATCCCTGCTCAGGGAACTAGATCCCACATGCATGCAGCAACTAAGAGTTCGCATGCCACAACTAAGACCTGGCGCAACCAAATAAAAATAAATAAATATTTTAAAAAAGAGAAAACTTATAGAATCAACATTAAAAAACTTTGGAGTAAGAAAAATTCCTTTATATAAATGGCTGAAAAATTAATATTATGCTATAACCTCCAAGGCTAGTCCAAATCCAGTCTAGACTCCAGGATTAAACAAAAAAGAAGGTGATCTTAAAGAAGATCCTAACCAACAGGCTGATTTTGAAATCTGTGACTGTTCTGATGCAGGTCAATCTGAGAATTTAAATCCACTTGAATCCAATCCCAAAGAATACCTCAACTCCTGAGCATGGACATAGCCAAAACTAAACCAGGTCAGTATACACTGCCAAGGAACATCCTGCTCCGAAGTGTCCACCAAACAAGGATCACTTATCAGTTTATTCTTCACTTTACTGGGTGCCAACCATTGGCAAGATATATGTAAGAGTGGACTGATTAGATCCCAGCAAACTCCATTTCAAGCTCTAATATCTGGAGATAGAAAATACTGCATAATTCTAAATGGTCTAAGGCTTTAAAAAATTATAAATGAAGAATTCCAAATGTTAGCTGACCTGACTTTAACACTACCGAATGTTACTAAAGTCATTTTAAAACTTCCCTAAGGGCCTTCCCTGGTGGCAAAGTGGTTAAACTCTGCTTGCCAATGTAGGGGACGCAGGTTCAAGCCCTGGTCCAGGAAGATCCCACATGCCACGGAGCAACTAAGCCCATGAGCCACAACTACTGAGCCTGTGCTCTAGAGCTCGTGAGCCACAACTACTGAGCCCTCATGCCACAACTACTGGAGCCCATGCTCCACAACGAGAAGCCACTGCAATGAGAAGCCCACGCACCGCAATGAAGAGTAGCCCCCGTTTGCCGCAACTAGAGAAGTCCTGCGTGCAGCAATGAAGACCAAACGCAGCCAAAAATAAATAAATAAATTTATTAAAAAAATAAAACTTTCGTAAGTATTTATTTCAAAGGTACAACTTAGCTAACTGCTTATATAACAAATTAAAACCATGAAACAATTACAGCAATACCACAAATCTGCCCTATGTAAACGGTATGAGTTTCTATATTTACGGCATTCAGATCTGCTAAAAGCAAATATAAGTGCTTCTTTTGTTAATTCACATGAATATGTTCTCAAACTTGTAAGTGAATAATTTGGCAGTGTACAAATAATGATAATAGAAAAGATATTAGAGCTGAAGGCAAGCACAGTATTACAAAACACAGTTCATGGTTTTTTAAAAAAAAGGAATCCGTAAATACAGGAGATGCTTCAAAGTTTAACCTTGGGACATATGGCAGCAGTAGCAATAGTAAAGCATCTAATTTGTGTCACAAGGTTTGAGTAAGCTTTTTTGCCTATTAATTAAGCGGCCTTTTTGCTAGTTATAGCTACTTAGCTTCTCCTAAGCCTCAGATTCTTCCTATATTACAGACTAATTAGGAGGAATAAATGAGAATATTTTTACTCATTTACTCATTTAACAAATGTGCTTTGAAAAATTGTTATTTTAAATTTTTTATGTACAAAAAAACCCTTTCAAATTTCTCCACATGAAATAAACATATATTAACTTTTAATATTACCGAGAAAATACAAATCTAATTTTTGAGCTATGGTCCCAAAACTTCTTGGAAGGAAATTCTTAAATATTACTTGAGAAAATCTGAACTGACATAATCGGAATAAACACTGATATTGAAGACATAACAATTGAGGGATCACATCTTAAAACAGTCTGACACAAATAAAAACAGAATTCAATATCAAGCATAAATTGGGGCCCAGACTCAATGACTGCTGGGTCAGCATCTAATTTCAAACACAAAACCTTAACACTTAAAAATCTTTGTTTTTAGGAAAATGATGAGGCAAATTAGTCCTTGACACAACATAAGATTTGTTTTCACAACAAAGCACACTGACCACTTACAATTTACAAATTCATACATTACTACAATTATTCTAATAGGTTTAGAGTCACAGATAAATTTAAGTATCATTATGAGATAGAGTTTACTTGCATTCTGTACCAACTAACAAAATTCAGCCAAAAAAACTGATTGATTAAATCATGACTTTGAACACTTAAAAAAAAGTCCCTTTTGAAATTTATTCCCAGAAAATTCACATCAGCAGAAGCCATGTGAAAGTTGTTCTTTCCCCACTACCTAAAAAGTCAAAACATCCACATTATTTATACTAGGCTTAAAATGAAAGTCATTCATATTCATCCATTATACTTCAATCCTAAGCAACAATAAAACGGTCCAACCTCCACGTTTATCCAATTTCTAGTCTACTTACTGTCAACTTTTGTGGAAGAACCAAGGCCCAGTGCCTCCCATTAAACTTCATATAACCTTAAAATGCTCTAAATTACAACAGATACAGACAATTCTAATTAGAAATTCACCTTAAAAATGGGTGAAAGATATTAACTGGCATTTTATCTGCCCAGCACAGGTCCTTTTAAGAACACAAACTAAATGGACCAAGCAATTTAATATTAAACAGTGGAAAGCAGTCTTTTGGAGACATCCAAACAATTTTAATATAAATTCTCCATACGTATAGAAACTGACATAGAAATAACTTGGATAATTTTCCCCTTCACTTGGAAAGGTACATGGTAGATGTCTTGAGAAATTAAGTTTAGGAGAAATAGTAGTTAACTGTTGAAGTTTCAGAAATCACTATGCAGGGCAACTATAATGAGGAGCTGTCTCTTTTTCAGCCTAAACATTCAATACAGAACAGTTGTTCCTAGCTTTGAAAATTATAAAAAAGGACAAGAAGTTCTAGCCTGGAGACGAAGCTCTTCCGTCTCCTGAAAAAATGCTTCATTAGTTCCACTTTATGCTAGTTAACATTGTTTCTTATGCGGCACATTAATAATTCACAACGGTTCCTTTGAAGAAAAAAGTTCTATTCAAACATTACAATTTGTCTTCGCGTTGCCAGCAAGCGGCTTTGTTTCCAGTTTCAGGGACTATTCTGGGATGTCAAGAGTTACATTATCTACTGTTCCAAAAGAGTCCTAGTTCCACTCTCACCGGGACGTGGGCAAAACTGATGTTTAGAGAGAACTGATGCCTAGAAATGTTTAAAGACGAACATCCTTCAGCCCTCTATCTCTCTCCATCCCTTGATAATCACATTTTACCAGGCAGAATTGTTGGTGTTGCTGCACTTAAATTTTTTTGAAAAACACCTGCAAACGCAACCTCCCTAGCGCCGCCAGGAAGAAAAAAAGACTATCGGGCTCGATCTGCAGTAGCTCCAGGGAAACAGACATCGTAAAACCCACTTGGCCGAGGAACGGGAGTGCTTAAGGGGGAGGGGGAGGGAGCAGCCTTGAGGTGCAGGCGGCGCCTGTTTACAGACGCCCTCACTTCCCCCACCCCCACAGACTGGGGGTCCAAAAAGCATTTCCCGAGCGCACTCTGCTCCCGCCAAGGTCCTCGAACGAACAGCAGGGCTGGGCAGCCCTGTGGCCCCCTCCCTCTGGCCGAAGCCTCCCTCGCCCTCCCCTCGACCAGGGCGGCGTCTGCACCTCCCCACGGCCTACCCACCCCGGCAGGCCCTCCAGGCGGCACGCGGAGGCCCGAGGCCTAAAGGACGCCGGGCACTGACAAGCCCCTCGGCCGCCGGCGGGACCTGAGGCCGGGCGGGCGGACGCTACGGCCGAGAAGCCGAGGGCGGCCGAGGACAGCCCCTGCCCCGCCGCGGCTGCCTATTGTTTCCGACGGAGGCCGGGCCGCAGCCGCCCGGCTCCCCACGCCGCTGCCGCTGCCGCCGCCGCCGCCTGCCGCTCGCTCACCGCGCTGGTCCGAGCAGCAGCTCCTCTCAGCTCCGAGTCCCCGCGGCCGTCGCCACCGCCGCGGCAGCCACCGCCGCCGCCAATGCCACCGTCGACTCTGACTCTGTCCCAGGCCGCCGGACAACGGCCGCCGCTGCCACCGCCAGCGCCGCCTCCGGCCTCCCACCTGCTGCTGAGGCTGCTCCTGCAGCAGGGGCCATCTTGTTGGTCTGCCTCCTCTTCCTCCTCCTCCTCCTCCTCCGCCCCGTCGTTCGTTGTCCTCGTCCCCTTCCTCTTCCTCGGGCTCCGGCCCGCCCCAGAGACTGGGGCGGAGACCAGAGTGAGGCCCCTCCTTCCAGGGGCGGGGCAAGCAGACGGGCGGGGCGGGCGCGGGAGCAAAGCTCTGAGTCACCGGCCACCAACGCCCGGGAGGGAGGGTGGTGTCGCTTACTGCCTGGACCCGGAGCGCACCACCCCCTGAGCAGAAGAACTGGTCCACCAGCGTCTCGGCGCCCAGCGGGCAAGTGGCCAGATGGTGAATTGGAAAATTTCTGACGTTTCCATCCAATCCCGCGCTTACCTCTCCCCCTTGGCTTTCTCTTAGCCTCGTCCCTCTGCTCTTGTTTCTTTTTCACATCTCTCCTCCTCCACCCCAGAAGAATTTGTTCTTATCCTGTTTCATTTTGGTTCTTGATCACACCAGCTTTGCCCTAGTCATTTCCCTCACAGACTCCCCCAAAGAGTTCAGCCTCCCAGCAGGGGTAAACAGCCCAAAGGCTCACTGCCCCAAAACGTCTCTCCAGGCCTATGTGACCAATTAAGAGCTGTCTGGGGCAGGACAGAAAAAGATTCAGCCCTTAGAAGAGCTATTGGATCTAAATCTAACCTTATGATTATTTGAAGTTTCTTCTCCATTATGGAAAAGAAGCCATTTTCATTTTGGGTAAAATGGGAGTCCCCTTTCAAGACAATTCGGTTTAGCCAAACCCTTGCTTTTAAGAAAGGAGAGAAATGGAATTCTTTTCATACCATACAGTCGTAATTTCAAAATAAATCGTTTAGAATAGAGGAGAGAGATGGTCCTCAAGTAAGCACCCAGCTAATACTCTTGTTCATTATCACCCTCCCCCTGCTTTTTTTTTTTTTTTCTTCAGGTCTGGCCAAGTGAGCAGAGATTTTGCTTTCCTGTCCTTTCTTCATTGCATACATCCCCAATACCAAGAGAAGTACTATATTTAGAGAAGCTTCTGCTTTTAAGGTGATAAATTCAATTACTGTAACAGCTAGTGTTCTTATATTATTTGTAAATAATATATCACACACCTTCCTAAACTCTAAGCAGGGAAGAGTTCTTTTTAGTTGCTAACACCCTCCTGCTCCTCAGATTTTAGCTTCTTTTAGAAGACCTATCGATGTCTTTCTGATGATTGGAATTTACTCTCTTTGAAGTGGGCTAAATCTGTAACCATCTCTTCAACCCGCTAAATAGTAACCCCAGTCCTACAAAGAGCAAATTTCTAGCTACCATGGAGGGATTAGGTTAGCGTGTGCTAATCTAAAGGCTATCCCTCAGCCAGGCCTCAGTCCCCTGCTGGGAAAAAACAGATTAATCTGTTCCTCCAGTTTTTCCTCCTCCTCCCTTCTCACTCCTAGGGAACCTTCCACAACAGAAGGTTTTAGCGGCTGTTGCTAGGCAAACATGCCAACTTCCCTGTTTAGGTGAGGCAACTTTCAATAGAATCAACCTAGATAATATAATTTCTTTGAACTATTAATAGTTACACCTCAACAGGTAGACCCCCTTCAATGTTCCCTTAAAAAAATATGATTTTTAAGTTAAATTTGTTTTTATTTCATAAATATTTCAGTTAAAAATAAGTTTAAAATGGAGGGGCTTCCCAAAATTCATTTTAATGATATAATTAAACAAAAATTTGGCAAAAAATGGAGAAGAGCAGCTCTGAAGAAAACACTTAAGTGTTTGCAATAAAAACTAATCTACAAAAAGTCATTTCTATGCTTTGAACTCCCCAGATAAGGTAGACATATAAGTTACAGTGAATAATTTATCCCTTGAGACTGAGTCTATTTAGAAGAAAGATAATATGGTTATTCAGTGAAAAAAAAAAGATATTCTGGGTTTTATTCCCAAATTAACTCTGTAAAAATTTTAGGTGGTGAATTAAGCTCTTTTTTCCTGATTTTGCTGTTTAAAATTTTTGCTATGTTATTGTTAAATAATAGTGACAGTTTTTAGGATATTGAGAGTTAATATGAATATTAAATAATTATGTTAAAATTTAAATTATATTTAGCTTCTAAACTCTTAAAATTGTATGATTTGTTTTCATCCAGTGAAATTTGTATTAATACAGCAAACTAGTGCCTGAGAAGTACCTTAAGCTAAGCTAACTGACTAAGAATGAATTACTAAAGACAAACAGCTTAAATGTCTCATAGTCATTTGTGCTTAGAAATCACTATTTTGTAGCTTTAACACAATTTAAACAATTTGGTTTTATTTTATATTTTATTATCTAGTTCTAGAAATTTAGACTCGGCCTCGGCCTCCACCACTGATATACTATGAAAATTAAATGCATCATTTCATGTAAAGGATTTAGAACAGCACATGGCACATAGTAAGTACTCAAATGTTTTTTAAAAATCCATTTTAGGTATGTCATTATAGTCTTTAGTTTCTTTTTTTTTTTTTTTTTCTACTTAAAGATGTGTTTTTGTTTTTGTTTTTGTTTCTTGCGGTACACGGGCCTCTCACTGTTGTGGCCTACTCCCGTTGCGGAGCACAGGCTCCGGATGCGCAGGCTCAGCGGCCATGGCTCACGGGCCCAGCCGCTCCGCGGCATGTGGGATCTTCCCGGACCAGGGCACAAACCTGTGTCCCCTGCATCGGCAGGCGGACTATCAACCGCTGTGCCACCAGGGAAGCCCAGTCTTTAGTTTCTTGATCAGTCAATTAAGGATGACAAGTAACCAAATACAGTTTTGCTCTTAGCATGAACCCTAAAAAAAAATTAATGCTAATAAGGCCTTAGGAATCTTTTAAATGTATTTTGTGATATACTTGTACTATAATGTTCTTCCTTTGATTGTTTATTTATTTAGAATAGCCTATGCTTTTTCGTTTATGCTAAGTGATTTTTTAAGTTACCACATGCTTTAAAATTGCTCTGGAATGTGTAATTATCAACCTAAAGCATTAGTTGTCCTATAGGACTAGAAAAGACCTAAGATACCAACCCACTTACTGCGACAGCTGAAACAGAGACTAAGAAAAGTTAGATCATGTATCTGTACAACTCTTTGTTATAGATAAACGCCATGTTATTGAGGAGGGGGTCAGAGAGTGGGAAGGAGTGGAATAGGAGGAAAAAATTCAAAAATGAATGAGTCATGTGTCCCTGCCTTGAAGAAATGTAACAATCTAGTACAAGGAATACAATGAGAAGTACATGTCAACTACTAGAGTATAAAATAGCTTGGTGATTATTGCATTAAAAAGTATAAAGTTCTATGAAAGTTAAAAGGAAAAGCTAGTAGGAATCTTTATTCTAATATCATAGAACCTACCTTTTAACAGATGTCAATACAATGTATTAGATCTGTACCCGGAGGCATACAAATACAATCAGCTTTTAATACAGGGCTAATTGGAGGATATGAGAATAGAGTTTGGATTAACTCTATTAAAGTACAGCTAGGACCTGAGACTTCTCCAGTGTAAATCATTTATGTATGGGGAGGGAATGACATCCTCAAACAGGAACACATGCACAAAATAGGGGGTACTGGAGCTGAGTCATTTGGATTTTCTGAATTGCTTTAGGTAAAGTAAGTGTGGGAGGCCAATTTAGTCCTCCCCTTCCCACACTCCTCTTTTCCTATACATAGATTCTCCATAATCTACTTTCTCCCCCAGTCTACACTCCTCTTACCAGTGTTCATTAAGATAAATCTGTAGAGTAAGAAATAAAGATGTCCCAAGGAAATATGAGGAAGTCAATAGTTTCTGACCTACCCTTAATCTTTAGAGTCCAGTCCCAAAACAGGCCCAAGTCAGTAACTGCAAACTAAACCTAAGGGATTGCCTTAGATTCAGGGAAACAATCCAAAGTGATCATGGCAGATGTAGCCCAAGTTAGTTCTGGGATTTCTGGAACTAGGTCCCTGTAGACTTGATTCTAAAAGAGCTAAAGAAAATGTTTCCGAGTCCTGCCTGAAATTGCTTTTGAACTGGCCTACCTTCTATGAATTGAGAATATCTGAATTTTAACCGATCTCCTGAGACGTATTCCAGGGTGATAGTAAATAGCACCCCTTTATGAAAGAGACATCAGACAACTTTCAGCAGAGAGGGGCATTCTAGGTATTACTTTAAACAGTGTCATAGGAGAAAGCAGCTCCACTTTTCACTTGGGCAAAACTCACTGTAATATTGTTGGTTTTCATTATTGTATTAGTTTGTTAGGGCTGTTGTAACAAATACCACAGACTGGATAACTTAAACATCAGAAATTTTCTCAAAATTCTGGAGGCCAGAAGTCCAAAATCAAAGAGTAGACAGGCTTGGTTTCTTCCAAGACCTCTCTTTTTGGCTCATCAATGGCCATCTTCTCCTGTCTTCACACGGTCTTCACTGTGTCTGTGTACTAATCGCTTCTTATAGAGACACCAGGCATGTTGGATTAAGCCCTACCCATATGACCTTATTTTACCTTAATTATCTCCTTAAAGGCCCTATCTCCAAATCCAGTCACATTCCGAGGCACTGGGGGTTAGGACTATAACATATGACTTTGGTGGTGGGAGCATGTGGGATGAATGGACACAATTCAGCCCGTAACAATAATAAACGCTCATTTTTAGAGTATCATACTTATGAATAAAAGGCACCCTTATGAGGGTACAATTTTAAATCTACCCAATGAAATCTGAAGCTTTTCTTTTTCTGATTACTCCTTGCATCATAAAATATCAATGCTTTTGGGGGTATAAATTAGCAACAATAAATAGGATACTAGAATTTTTTTAAAAAACTGATTATCAAAATTATCTGAGTCACATCACAATGAGAATTAGCAGAAAACAAGTACCAGAACTTGAACAGACCCAAGATTAGTATGAAAGGATTAAACTTTGTTTATAGGGTTAATGATTTGAAGATCATTTAGAGCTCTGCCTAAATAAGCAATTATAGATACACTGAGGTCAAATACATATTGTAACCAAATGATATCATCTAGCAAAAATGGACGTTCAATATTTCTTAGAAATTATTAGATTTGTCATGTCATGAGTAACCAGTTAAGAAAAAGTTGAACATTGGTGTATAAATCATTCAGGAAACCAGAATTTGAAAGTTGTGCTTTAGGCAAGATGGAAAGGAAACTTCCTTTTGCTCTATGCCTTAATTTCTAGAATCTGGACGTGGGGAAGTCTTCAGAGTTCTTTACGATGTTCCAAGAGGTTAGGGATTAAAGATGAGCTCTACAAATTGGAGGCAGGTCACGAACCAGAAAGAAAGATGTTCCTATGGTGCGCTCCTCATTGAAGATGAATACTTAGCTTCATGTTACTCCATGAGCTTATTTCCCTTTTGATACCCTCTAGGTTTGAATAACATCTTATTTGAATGTTCCAGTCTTTTCTCAGCTGTGCTACCTTCTATCAACAGGAGAGTTCTGCAGCCATACTTAGGCCAATCATTCTTTTTTTTTTTTTTTTTTTATGTGGACCATTTTTAAAGTCTTTATTGAATTTGTTACAATATTGCTTCTATTTTATGTTTTGGCTTTTTGGCCACCAGGCATGCGGGATCCCAGCTCCCCAACCAGGGATTGAACCCTCACCCCCTGCATTGGAAGGCGAAGTCTTAACCACTGGACCGCCGGGGAAGTCCCCAGCCAGTCATTCTTATGCAGGTCAGTGTAGCATCAGTAATGGGAAATACCTACAGCTCTCCCAGAGAAAAAGCACATCTCAGGGGATAAGAGTCAGAGTCTCTTTCCACCTGGATATTTTTCTTCTGTTGTCAATCTTGGATAGGTAGAAAAACCTAGTGCAAACTCTTGTTCCACTTACTGGCTGTGTTAGCTTGTACAAGTTAACCTTAGAATACTTCCATTTCCTTTACTATAAAATAAGGATTGTAAAATGTATCTAAGACGGGTTTTATGGAGATAAATGAGAAAATACATGTAGAGCGTCTAGGGCAATGCCTGACATCTAATAGCCAATGAATGAAAATTATTAAAATTATACTAGGTACTGTGTATTGCATTAGGCTGATGATTCTCAATTTTGTGTGAACTTTTAAAAGCTGTATATCTCCAGCTCTGACCATAGACATTTTGTTTTTTTTAAGAAATTTATTTATTTATTTTTGGCTGCGTTGGGTCTTCGTTGCTGTGCACGGGCTTTCTCTAGTTGCGGCAAGCGGGGGCTCTTCATCACGGTGGGTTCTCTTGTCGTGGAGCACGGTCTCTAGGCGTGCAGACTTCAGTGCTTGTGGCTCGCGGGTTCTAGAGCGCAGGCTCAGCAGTTGTGGTGCACGGGCTTAGTTGTTCCGCGGCATGTGGGATCTCCCCGAACCAGAGACCGAACCCGTGTCGCCTGCATTGGCAGGCAGATTCTTAACCACTGCGCCGCCAAGGAAGTCCCACCATAGACCTTTTGACCCCTTTTGGGGTGTTGGTGTGGGGCCAGGGATTTTTTTCTTTTTTGGGATTTTACAGAGGATCCCATCCTGTTATATGAGGTGAGAACCACTGAAGTAGATCCATGGTCAGCAAGGTTTTTTGGTAAATGGCCAGATAGTAAATATTTTAGGCTTTACAGTCTTTTCAGTCTGTCACAACTACTCAACTCTGTCATTATAGCACGAGATCAGATATAGACAGTATGTAAACTAACGAGCATGACTGTGTTCCAATACAACTTCATTTACAGGAACAGAGATAAAGAGATGGTGGTGGGCTCTCTTTGGCCCCCACACTGTTGTTTGTCAGACCTGTCTTATGTGAAGAGAGATTTGATTTGCTGTAGCCAGCGAAAGTCTTTTATTATTATAATGTCCAACAGCAGCTTTAAAAACCTTACATGTAATGACCAATGTTTGGTGTTAAACGCAATTAATTAAACAGACAGAGCTCCTGCCTTTCCAAGGAATTAGTAATCTAAAACAACAACAGCACTGACATAATATTTATAAGTAATCCCGTGTGAGTAATTGTCATGTATACAGATGACTCTACAAGACTAAATGGGAAACTGAGTTCAGAGGTGGGCAGATTTTCCTAATGCTTTTGATTTACAAATATCAGATAAAATCAAAGGAGCACAAGGGCTCATTCAGGAACCAATGTGAAGAGGAGAGCAATGCCCCAGATTAGATCTTCCTTTTCAGCAAGAAGCTGTATAAGGGAGCATCTTTTTTTGTTTGTTTTTTTCCACTGTTGTTGAGACTTTATTTCCATTTTTATTTGAGATATATCACACCACTGAAATTATTCACAACTAAAAGTTTGCTAAATCTTTCAACATATGTTTCATTTTTAGGATAAATTTGTAGAAGTGGAATTGTTAGATAATAGTTATGCATATATTTGAAGATTTTATAATAGTGCCTAATTGTCCTCCAGAAATCTTGGAATAGTTTTAAGCATAACGTTAATTAATTAATTAATTATAAACAGCTTAATTGAGGTATCATTGGTATATTAAAAAACTGCACATATTTAATGTATACAATTTGATGAGGTTGCACATATGCGTACACCCATGAGGCTATCACCACAATCAAGGTAATAGACATACCACCACATATTTCCTTAGGCTCTTTTGTTTTTTAGATTTTTGTTTTTGTGTTAAGGACATTTCATATGAGATCTACCCTTTTAACACATTTTTTTTAAACATCTTTATTGGAGTATAATTGCTTTAAAATGGTCTGTTAGTTTCTGCTTTATAACAAAGTGAACCAGTTATACATATACATATGTCCCCATATCTCTTCCCTCTTGTGTCTCCCTCCCTCCCACCCTCCCTATCCCACCCCTCTAGGTGGTCACAAAGCACCGAGCTCATCAGGGAGCATCTTTTAAAGGAGTCCTTTAAATGGGACCTCATGACTCTCCACATGGCTGAATTTGCCTTCTCTCAATGTAATTTCATCAAAATACATTATTGTCAAATTTATCCTCTGAGGTTAGGGGCTTTATTTGACCTGGAAAAAAGAAAAAGCTTTCGCTTTCTCTATATGAATAGTAAACTTAGAAAAAAAAGTCAATCGATCAATTTGTATGCTTGTGTGTACATGTATATATGGATATGTTTAAATCAAGTTATTGGTGATTTAGTAACCTACTGCCTACGATTGTAGAAATGACACAATAGTAGCTGTCAGATAGAGCAAGATTCTCTTATATCTCCTCATACCCCTGAAAGATAGACATATATAATGGATATTTATAATTTTGTGGCTGCTCATCATCTTACCCTCCCCTCCTTACACTGTTTGGGAATTCTCCATTTGGGAATTTTTGTGGGTGGCAGAATCTTTTCTCCCACGACAGGCCAGAAAGTCCAGATATTTGTCTTCTGCCCTCCACCCACCACCTCCTCCCACCTCTGCCCCACAGCAATCCTAGGGTGAGGGAAAATGATCTAAGCTTGGTAGACTGGATGCTCTTACTTGGAACTTTGAATCTGGACTGAGTTACACAGAAGTAAGTAGAATTCATCCCACTCACACCTGTGATACCCAGAATCTGATGGGACAATGGCAGCAATCCCTGGGGTTATGTCCAGCATCTACTGGTCATGGCAGTAGTACCCTTACCAGGCCATTTCAGAATTGACTTTAGCTCTGGCTCTGGCCATCTAGCTTCCCTCAATTCCCTTCCTTACAATCAAAACTATGAGCCACCAGTGTTCTTCCAGAAAATTCCCTTTCTGCTTAAGTTAGCCACTGAGATAGTTTAACATACAAGAGAAGGGTACAGAAATCAAGGGTTTGCAGAAATAATCCATTTTCTCATTTCTCATATAGTTGACCTTTACTCAGTTTAATGGAGTTATCCATGTTTTTTCTTTCTTTGGGCCCTGATTTCATGACTCTAGTCATTACAGTCTCAAAACTTAAGAGTACATCTGTATCCATTTCACTTAAACTGAAGTGGAGGTATATTAAGTTATGTTTCCTTCTGTTACTCAGTTCGTTGATTATACTCGAATAATCAACACTCCTCTCAAGCTTTCAATTTGATTTTTTTTTCTCATTCTGCCAAGAATGTTTAGTGTCTACATTAAAAACTAATATTTCACAGATTTCTGAAGGGGAAAGCCTCCATATAAATATCTCTCTTAGCTAAAAATTATGACAAATGCAAAGTGCTTTTTGTTTTTTCTTGAATTCCTTTTGCTAACAGGCATCTTCCTAATCAAGCATTTCCTCTTTGGTAAAATTACATGGAAAAAGAATTATGTTTAAATTTTTTGCAAAAATATTTCATCTCCTGTACTTGAAGTGTTCATTTGTGGTTCTTTTCTGCAGAGATTTGTAACCTCGTTTCTGCAGCATCTAATTGAGCATCATATGTTCTCAACTGATGATATAAAAGTCACAAAACAAAATTAATTTGCATCCACTTTATCACCAGCAATCACAACAAATATTTGATAACCTGTTTTATGCCAGTCACTATGCTATGGTGATACAGCGATGAACAAGACAGGCAGTCTCTTCCTTGGAGGCCTATGGCCTAGCAGGGAAGATAAAATACATATAAATAATTAAATAACCACAAGCTGGAAGGCCAAAGGGCATATATAACAATGAGAATTGACCTAGCCTGAGATGAATAGAGAAGTCCTAGTGACAGGGAATTCGCTGTTGGTTCAGTGATTAGGACTCTGCCTTTCCACTGCAGGGGGCATGGGTTCATTTTCTGGTCGGGGAACTAAGATCCTTCATGCCGCTTCGTGGCCAAGGGGAAAAACAAAAGTGACAGCTAAGTTGAAAGCTACATGAATAGAATTTAGCTAGGCAAAGAGAGAAAGCAAAATGTTTCTGCCAGAGAAAACAGCATATGCAAGTGCACTGAGGCAGAAGAAGCCTGTGAGAAAGTTTGTAGAATTTTCTTGTTTGACTACGAGAAAGTATAGAGATTGAGAAGCAGTCTAGCAAAGAAGATGCTGCAGAGGTAGGCAGGTAGGCATTGGAGGCCAAAGTAGGAGTTTTTGAACTTTATTTTGATAGATTTGCTAGATAAAATACAGGATGTTGAATTAAATTTATATTTCAGATAAACAATATTTTAGCATAAGTCCCAAATATTACACTGAACATACTTTACACTAAAAAAATTATCTGTTATTTATATGAAATTTAAATTTAACTGGACATCCTGCTTGCAAAACCTGGCAACTCCATTTTAATAGCAATGTGAGGTCTGAAAGGCAAAGGAGGGAAATGATAAAATTTGCTTGTTGAAAAATTACTAATTATAGAGTGGAAGATGTATTTGAGGCAGAGCAAAAGTACATGAGAAGATCTTGATCAGTCCCTCTTTCTTAAACCTTCTCTTCCTTTGCCTTCTTATGTAATCACACCTGGTTTCTCTCCCATCTCTCTACTACTCCATAGTCTCCTTTAGTTGGTCCACCTTTTTTTTTTTTTTTTGCGGCACGCTGGCCTCTCACTGCTGTGGCCTCTCCCCTTGTGGAGCATGGGCTCCGAACGTGCAGGCTCAGCGGCCATGGCTCTCGGGCCCAGCCACTCGGCAGCATGTGGGATCTTCCTGGACCGGGGCACGAACCAGCGTCCCCTGCATCGGCAGGCGGACTCTCAACCACTGCACCACCAGGGAAGCCCCGGTGTACCTATTTTATTAGACATTTAAATGTTGGTGTTCTAAGACTG